TGAGCAACAACATTCATTCCAGGCATGAGAAATAGGAAGATCCATCAGAAAGAGAAGTGCTGTTAAAAAAGAGGCAGCAATGACAGACCAGAACAAAACCAGCTTGTATTTTTAGAAAAAGGGAGGAAAAACCCAGTTAAACCAGCCATTTCCAGGAGGGGAAATCAGACTGTCAAACTGAGACAAACTGCTCCTGGTGGTGGCAGCAAGTGGCAACAGAAAAACCCTGAGTCTGCACCCCTCTTTTTTGAGCCTGAGCAAATGAAACAGGAGACCTAATATATATATTTTTGTGTAGCATTTTTATCCATCTTGCAACTGTGTCTTTGCACCTCACAGCATTTTGGTCCCTCTTAACTCTTCCCTGGGCCATTTAGGTCCTTAATTACATTTTTTGTTGTTGCCTCAGGCTACCAGAAGAGCTGACATCTAAGGTGTGGAAGAGCAATCAAGAGATCATTTGAGCAGGGACTGAGGGATGAACTCGTGTCCTCCCTGAAGAGCTCCAAGAACTGCACACGTAGAGTAGAGGGGTATGTGGTAAAACTGATGAGCCCACATTTCCCTGCAAGGAGGAGGCATTAATATCCAACATGGCCAAACACCCTTGGATGAAAACCTCACATCAGGCTGTGGTTTTCAGAAACACTTCTCAGCTGCAGAACATCCATCCCTGATGTTCTCCACACCAGCACATGAGGTCCAGTGATGTCCATTGTTGGAGACAAGCACGTGCCTGCTGGAGATGCTGCCCTTGGTCTGCCAACCAGCTGCCTTGCACAGGACAGGGGCAATCCAGTTGCTTGTGTGTCTAAAGATTTGCACTCTCTGGTTTTCAGGGATTTGAATTGGAAGCTCAGCTGCCAACAGCAAACTGACCTCCCAATGAACAAACATTTTTGTGTGTAAAACTCGTTATCCACAACAGGAAAGGAAAAGCAAACCCAAAGAACATCAATATTTCAAGCTGTTCTGTTTAAATGTACTTTTGAAATAGGCTGAGTCTGAAACTCCCCTGCCAAATTCTTTATAGGATCAAAGGAAAAAGCTGCTCCACAACTCTTTGAGGTGCCTTGTCCCTGCCTGCATTTCCCTGCCCACACCTCAGACCAGAACATTTGTCCCCAAAGAGACTGATGCTTCTGCTCATCTGATGTATCTGTCCTCGTGGTCCCATCGAAAGGCTGAACTTGGCAGAAATAGAAGCAGCTAAAATTTAAAGCTGAGAAGTTTACTTGATAAGGGAACTGGATTTTAGATAAGTTGACAAGTAGAAGGCATTTTATTACTACCCAAAGCAGCCAGCTTGCATATTTCAAAGAAAAAGACATGATAAGATGTTAATTCAGAGTGTTTGGAACCGCATTTTTAGTTAATAATAAATCAAAAATATGTTGGTAATTATCAGTGGGTAGGAATCACATCCTAATCCATTATCCAGTGCAGCGAGGAGATACTTCAGGATGAGGAAGACAGATAAACTCAAGAACAAAAGGGATGCCTAAAGCAGTTTTCTCCCAGAGTGGTGTTTTCTGGATGCCTTGTTTTAGCCCAGCTGAGGTAATCAGTGACATACAACCTGGTAACACAGGCCACCTTGTCCACTCAAACAAGGAATGATGTTTGGCCATAACTGCAGAGGAGCCACTCAAAATCTAAGCTAATGCAGTGGTAAATGGGCTTTACCTGCTCTGAAAACCAGCACCATGAAAGGCTGAGGGGACAGCAAAGGCCCCTGTGCCCCCCCTGCTGCCGAGCCCTCGGTGGCCTGAGGCAGGAGGGCAGCCAGGACTGTGCTGGCAGGACCACCCTACTCAAAGGTCTCCACTCCATATACATGGAAACAACTCATCTGTCCTGGCGAGCTCCCCGGCAACAGGATTCCTAAGCAAAACATCCACAACAACTTGCAGACAGGGAGGAGAAGGAAAAGGCTTGGAAATTCCCACTCTTGGGGACCACAGAGCTGCCCTACAGACAAAAGCCAGCCAGGGCAGGGCTGAGCAGCAGGACCACTGACCAGTGATGGCAGCAGAACCCAGCCCTGCCTGCTCATGTCTGTCTGGCCCCGACACAATGTGCTCCAGCACTATCTGCTGCAGACATCTCACAAGTCCAGAGCACAGCAGACACAGCCAGGGATGTGCTTTGGGAGCATCCTGAGAGCCCTCTCCCACCCTCACAAGAGCCAGTCCCAGCAGAGGAAAGCAGAGAAGATCCATGAGGGCAGCAGTTCAAAGGATCACCACCAACACCTGCCTGGTCTGGACCCAAAATATGGTCGGTCACCACTGGTGGGCAGGGGACAACAAAGCTGATGCACTTCAGTGGAGACGTGGGAAAGATCCGTGCACTTTGAGGACAACACGTGGTTGGCTGCATCCTAATGCTGGTCCTACAAGGCCCACATTAACAGGTCCCAGCCTTGGAGCCCCACCACAAGTCCCAAACTTGGGATTCAGTAGCACAACAGCCCACTGCAAATTTTAAATGGAAAAAGATGCACTGCTTCATCCTAAAAACTTGGAGGTTATTGCCAAGTGTGACAAAAAGGGTTTAGGCTGTGACCACCTCAGGTGCTTGAAGTGGATCAAACCCAGCCCAGCCAGGACAACCCATGAGCATCTGGAGGCCCAGCTGCAGTGCAGACATATCTGGAAAGGCTTCAAACCATCAGCATTTAGCCAGCAGATAACTGGTAGTTTAGTGTTTAAATTGAAAGAAAGGAAAGAAACCCCCCAACCAAACAACAATTTGTCTCCCTAAGAAGATTAATAGGTGCATTTAAAGAAATCAGTCTGAAGGCTTGATGAGAAAGAGGCAGCACAATCTGAAATGGAGACCTCCTACAGTTTTTTAGTCCAGCTGTACAGTCAAATAATAGCTTATGTAACTAGGATTGGAACAAAATAAATTAAAAGTAATTTCATGTTTCATCAAAGGAAAAAGTACAGTTTGGAGTGAGTGTGGAAAAAGCTGGAGTTCAGCCTTGCATTTTCCCTGAGCCTTTCATAGGTTTTCTATTATCAGCTGAGTTGGTTTTTTCACCAAAGGAAGGCAAATTACGAAGTCCCTTAAGAACTTATACATTTCCCAATTTCAACTATTCCCATTTTATAACTCATAATTTCACGTATCTGTAACCAAAATGTTTTCTTTAGGAGATGAAAGAATAAAAAAACCCCACCATCCTGTTTTTCCCAGGCTGCAATCTGTTTTTTCTGGTTACAAAAAAAATAATCTAAAAAAGTGGTTAACAGCTACAACATGTCAATCAGGAATTCCCACACACAATTTCATCCTTTCACAGACATTAACTGTGGCAAAACCTCTTTGTGCTCCTCATGTCTAGACTAATTGAGAAAGATCATGAGCTACCAGCTGACCCTTTCTCATACTGTGGAGCCCATGGCAGACCCAGGTGGGTCTCACGAGGGCTGGTGAGAGGGGCAGGACTGCTTAGATACCATTTAATAGCTGAGGAAGATACATCTCACGTTGACTTCATGCCCATGTACAATTTCCAAGGACAAGGCACCCTAAGACCATGTCAGAAGAGGTCACATACTCCAAGCTTCTCTTAACAGAGCTCAAAATCCATCAATAAAGCCAAATTCCAAAATAAATCCCCACATTCATGATGCTATCATCCTCAGGAGAGCACTGGTCCAGCAGAGGGACAGCCACTGGTGCTCAGCATCAGCCTCATGTCCCTGTCAGCAACTGGAGAATCCTGTGAGTCCCCCTTGCCAGGAAAAACTCAAAATAGGCTAAAAAAGCAATATCCTACTGGCAGGCAAGGAAAGAAAGACAAAAAAGGTTCAAAGGCTGCTCTCAACTATTGACACCAGGCCTCCCAAAGTCTCCCTACCTTGCAGTACCCACACAGATGGCTGGAGGAGGACATGCCAACTCCACACACCAGCTGGACAGTGGGTTTTGTCACATCTGCACCAAGCAGCATTTTGGTCCAAGGTGATTTGGGTTTTTTTGTTTGTTTGTTGTTGGGTTTTGTGTGTTTTGTTGGGGGTTTTTTTCTGTGGCCTTCAGAGAAGCCATCAAAGCCTCCTCCAAAAGCTGCTCAGCCAGGAAACTGCTTTGTCATGTCTGAGAGCTTGTGGTCCCTGGCAGGCCCTGGAGCCAGGAGGAGAATGGCCAGTCATTCCTG